ATGTGCGGGAGCGTTTGATGGGAGTGCGCGAATCACAGATTTTATTATTGTATATTTTATTGTCTATGATGCAGTAAATGTCAGTATTATGTGCAGTATATGTCAGTATATATATCAGTTATATGTCCGTCAGTATGCGCGCACACGCGCCTGCGAACTACTCTAACTATTCCCAGCGAGAGTAAAACTGAGTTTATATTCACTAGTCCTGCCCGTTAGGTGGTCAAATAAACACACACACCACACACACACACACACACACAGACACCACACACACACATACATACACATACACACACACCACAAGCGGCGCGCACACACACACACACGCGCACACACACACCACACACACACACACACACACCACACACACACACGCGCGCATACGATAAACACACACACACACACACACACACCACACACACATGCACACACACACACACCGCACACGCACACGCACACGCACACGCACACGCACACGCACACACAACACAAACACAACACAAACACAAACACACACACACCACACACACACACACATACACTACACACACACACACGCAACGCACACGCACACACGCACACGCAACGCACACTGCACACGCACACGCACACGCACCGCGCACGCGCACGCGCACGGCGCACGCGCACGCGCACGCGCACGGCGCGCGCGCATATACACACACAACTAAAAAAATGAGATAGCGTGTAAGAGTATTATTAGAGCTTAGTCTGAAAGTTGTATGTTTTACGTTTACGGTTGAAATCTTGGAAGAGTTTCTTGACAGCCGGGCGACTTTCTTGCGGGCGGTATCTGTCAATGTTTAATATCTCGACGTGTACAGGTGATGCCTTTCTTTTTGTGGCATTAGCTGGGCAGCTATAACCAATTTTTTTGCCGTGTGGAAACTTTGACTTATGTTTAACGAAATTGCGCAACGCATTTAAGAAACATGTAAAAACAATGTATAATATTCTCGTGGTTACGACTAGATGGAAGCTACTTAGAAAATCCTAGATGGAGCGCCCTTGTCTATACATTGTTTTTCACACTGCCATTTGTGTTTTGCGTGTTGTGACGTTGCCCCGCGCTCGTGCAAAAATGTCCCATTTTTTAATGTTTTTGAACGTAGAATGTGAAAAAAATAAAACTGTAAAGAAAAAAAATAGCCCATGCAACGTGTCACGATCTGTAGAATGTTCCGACCAAGTTTGGAGAGGATCCGTTGAGCGATGCGGAACGTATAGGCCGGACACACACACACGACAGAAATTTATAGTAAGATTGGAACGTGTCGCAATCACTTGATGCTGTCTCAGCCCTACAAATGCAGCAATTATCGATTGTCGTTGATACCACGATGATTGAGGAGATGATTCCGATCGTAATTTAAGATAATACTACTTATATTGGTTATTATATATATTAAATGAGTATAATTGTTATTATATTTATGTACATCTGTTAAACTTAAAATTTAAAATAACGAGAGCATGTTTCGAGGACGTCGATATAAAAAACGTGTATTATAGTGAGTTATTTATCAACCGCAAATTGCCTTGGTTCACAGTCTTCGCAATTTCTTATGTTGCGGGCATGATATCTTATAGAGTCAGATGAATGCGCGCGCATGCCCAGTATATGTCACACCTAAATTATGTTGTTGTAATATTGAAATTAAAGTAGAGAGTTCAAAAGATACAGAGAGAGGGGAGATTGGAGGGATCTATGAGGAAAAGGAAGAGAGAAGGAGGAAGATAAGAGAAGAAGAGAAGGAAAAGAAGAAGAGGAGAAGGAGCATGAGGAGGGAGGGAGGGAGAAGGAGGGGGGACAATGATGATGATAAGATGGAGGAGGAGGAGGAGCAGGAGGAGGTGAATGATGCGATGGGAGGAGGAAGTGGAGGAACAGAAAAAGAAGATAAAGGCGAGAAGGAGGCGGGAGAGGTGGGAAGGTGGAACAGGAGGGATAAGGAATAGTCGGAGCGATAGAAGAGGACAGGATATATGGTATAGCGTCAATCTATGAGCACGCATGTCCAGTATCTGTTATGCAGAGAGTATCAGAAATGCTATTTTTCGTAAACTACACAATTACGGGTGAGGCCACGAAATCAAACGTAATTTCAATAAAAAGTTCAAAGAGGTAAACCTGAAGCTGGAGGACGGGAAGGAGGAGGAAGGAGAGGAATAAGAGAAGAATGAGCAGGGGAAGAAGGAGGGGAAGAGTAGGGTGAGGATGGAGAGGAGGAGGAGGAGCAGCAGCAGGAGAAGCAGGAGGAGAAGAATAGGGAGGATAAGGAGGAAGAGTCAAGGAGGGAGGGAGGGGAGGAGGAGGAGCAGCAGCAGCAGGAGAAGGAGGAGAAGGATAGGTAGGATAAGGAGAAAGAGTCAAAGAGGGAGGGAGGGAGAGGAGGAGCAGCAGCAGCAGCAGCAGGAGCAGGAGGAGAAGGAAAGGAAAGATAAGGAGGAGGATGAGGAGGTGGAGAGAGATGAGGAGCAGAACAAGGAAGATGGAGGAGAAGAGGAGGAGGAGACGTAAAAGGAGGAGGAATAGAAGGAGTAGGATGAGGAGAAGCGTGGAGATAAGCAGGGAGAGAATGATGTAGGGAAACTGGAAAACGCGGAGCTGTATCGGCTGACTTGTAACTTCGCACGTGCTCAGTATCTGCCAAAGCAAATGCAATTCTGCTGATATCATACATTTAAAATTGAGGAGTCATGTTCAACAGTAGTTTGCAATAAATATCTCTAAATATTTTACGTAGATGAACCACCCAGCCTCCGTATTTTCACTTATACATTATCATATGTTTGTGTATTTCTCCTATCTGGCAGAATTATTGCCGTTATTTTGAAATTTTGCTTACACGTATAATATGGATTACTTACCTTACCAGCAATAGCTTGCCATAAAATATATATCTCTCGAATATTTCCCTTTCATGAGAAGTACGCCAAACCGCTGTCTATATATATCTAATATGCTATAGTATAGAGTCAGGTATACGTGCGCGTATGCCCAGTACCGAAAGAAATCGTATGTATGATATTATATATTTATATACGAAGGTGTGTACGCAAGAGTAGTTTGACCTGATAAATGTTTGCACAGAATTTGATGTAGAATGTAGGCCTATACACACAGGGTACCCACAGCAGCTTGGACTTAGTTCTTCTACTATACATGTATCATTAGATTTTCAAACGGTCTAAACATCATGAACATTGAATGTACTGTCATTATTGACAAATATTGCGCCTGGAAATACGTTGAGGTAGATAGGCATCTGGGACATCAAACTACTCTCGGATATCTGTTCTTTACTCTTGTCAAATATTGACAAGGATATTGTTTTCATATTGTATCTTTTTCATCATTTTTCATAGGATATTGGTTAGAAAATGCCTGGCCTATTTTTATTTCATTTGATGAAATTTGTACAGCGAATGGATTCCCGTGGACAGCCGGGCTTTGGTTTGACACACAAAGTTAGAAACATGAGCTCTGGTTTGATACGACACCTTCCGCCCCCTAGCGGGAATCACGGGAACCTGTGACAGATAAGCGACACTTTGTGGCGAAAATTGACCGGTTGTCCTGATGCCCGATACTTGATTGGCTAAAAACGCTGCATTTTATGTTAAAATTAAATCAATCTGGTTTTTCTTGTGGCTAATAAGATTTTATTGTTAACAACGTAGCCAGTAATCTATTTTTATTAGCAGAGAGTATTTCATTGCGCTCTTACACGTAAAATCAGGAAGCGGGACCTCGAAATGTGACCAATCACCAACCAGCCCATTGTATGTGTCGAATGGTACCCTAACCCTAACCCTACCCCGTCTAAATTGTAGGGAATAACTTTCCCCCAGGCTGAATATAATATAATAATATAGGGAAATGATTATAAACGCCTTGTGCAGTGAAGTCATAAGACGTGATCACGTGCCTTCAATCTACGCCCGGGGGAAAGTGACAACCGTTTTTGGTTGGTTGTTGTATCATGTTCTTTTAGGCAGCCGGCTGAAAGGGGTGGTAGGATATGTTTACTAGGCACTTCTAATTTTAACATATATTTTACGATATATTAAAGAATGATGCAAAAACCCTAAAAAGTGCCCTAACCCTAACCCTAACCCTAACCCTCATCATCTCTTCTCTCTTCTCGTCTCATGCCTCTCTATCTCTCTCTCTCATTTCCTTCTCCCTCTTTCTCCGATTCCACTACTCTCTATCTCATCTCTCCTCCTCTCTCCCTCCTTCTGCTCCGCTCCTCTCTCTCTCTTCTCTCGCTCGCGTTCTTCCTCTCCTCTCACCCTCTCTCTATCCTCATCGTCATCCCCGCCCTCTCTCTCCTCTCCTCTATCGTCTCTCTCGGGTTGGCTGGCGCTTTTTCTATCTCTCTTTCGCTCTCGGTCCGCTGCTCCTCCTTCTGCCCTCACTTTCTCCCTCTCGTCTCTTACGCCCCCCTCTCTCTCTCCTCTCTGCTTTCACGTCACGTCAACCTCTTCCTCTCTTGTCTTTCTGTTTATCATCTGCCCCCTTTCATCTCTCCCTCTCCCTTTTCTCTGTCCCAATCTCTCTCCTCTCATCCCATCGGCCTATCATCTCCCCCTTATTTTTCTTAACATACTCACAACTATATTGTTGCATTAATATTCAGATTTTTTTTTTTTCTCGATGAAAAAAAATGTTGTCAGTACGTGTATTGTGTATCCCTGAATTTACAACATGCAATAAAGATTGACAGCCCATAAACTATGAATATCTTCCCGGTATTGAATGAATAACGTTACCAACCTCATATTTCGTGTGTTTCAAAAGCGTCCATCGGCTGGTGAATGAGATCGCCGAAGGAGGAGCTAGGCAGGCGATTGTGCAAGCGCGTTCTCTCCGCTCATTACCGTGAGTAGCTATCCGCTCTGTACGTCTCATTTCACATACTCTCGCGCTTGTCCGCAGCTCTACCAGCGACGCTGATGCCGTGAACCATCGCGCCGGGGTAGCAAATGCTGCGTATCTGGGAGGAAGCCTGCACGGGAATGTTGGCGGGCGGCCGGCGACGGTGGTGGTGGTGGTTCCGGTGATGGTGACATTCTGGTAGCTTGGCGGGGCAAGCAGCAAAAACGACACCGCCATGCGTTAATTGTTTAATATCTTTAATTTTGAACGCCGCAGATGCGGGACTCCACGCCTCTTTTGAGAGTAGGGAGTAACGTTGGAACTCTCC